TCTGTTTGAAGGAACAAATAAAAGTCACCTCTTTGAAAGATTAAAATTTCATCTATTATTTACTTAAAACCAAGTTTTAGAACTGCACCATCACAGTAAGCATTTAATCAGAAATGCAAACAAGAAACTCAACCTGTACATCCTGTTCTGCCCTACATCAAGCATCAATCACATTTCAGCATTACCACATGCAAGCTGCAAACATCTGCTAGAGAGAGAAGACAGAACAGCAGCAACAACAAAATACCCACGCACCGAAAGGTTACTTGACTTGCATTCTGTGTGAATTCAGACTGAACACAAGAGTCAAGTCCCTGTTGATCAGGGATGAGAAAAGAACAAGATGTCTTGGAAGACAGCTGTTTCTTAAGAGACGGCAGGTGCACATTTGGGAGTGCCTTGCAGCACCAGGATGCCGACACAGGTAGGTACAGCCACACACGTGCTTTGGGCTCAGCAGAGAGAACCTGGAAGCCCTGCAGGAACCTTAAGGCAGTGCTTTGCACAGGCAGGCAGGACACACTGGGGCAGGGAAGATCACTTCAGGCTCCCTGCCATGCAAATGAGTTTGTTCGGCTTCCCAAGCAGAGCAGCTGAGAGCTTGGGCTGGAGACTAAGAATGCAAAAGGCTTCCTGCAGCCAGCCAGAGTGATCACTTAGGCTGGAGTCACGCTGTCTCAGCAGTGGGGTTCATTTGATTCTGAAAGTCCACTGGCCTTACTATTTAAAAGAGACATTAGTCACGTAAACATCTCAATTTCTCATAAATACACAGAAAATATGACAAGTTTTAAAGAAATGTTGCCACTACAAGTCAGAGTAAGGTCATAAAGTGACATTCATTTGTTACCAGGGTCTCAGGAAGTTAAAAAAAAAAATTTAAAAATTCCTCATTGTTATTAACAACTACTTGAGCTTTTGCTCTCCTTCAAAAGGTTTTGAATCCTTAGTTCATACAAAGAGTCTGTTTCATGTAAATATTTGGGGGAAAGAAATTCTCTGTGTTCTAACTGTAACTAGCTTATGATGTCAGCACAAGTGACCCAAGATGATCTTCAACTGACAGCACTGACTTAACATTTCTCTGCTGTCTTTTATAACAACCTCTTGAAAGCATAAACTATGGCTGCTTTTCTTTTCTTAAATCTCCTACAGACATTTACTTCTAAGGATGTGAACAGACTCAAACAGTAATCAAGAAATTGTACAATGATCTCAAAGGATGCTTAAAACATTTTCCCTAGCCTGTCCCTATCTCCCGATGACATTTTCTCCCATGTAGAACCTTGCCTTACTGCCTGAAATTCCAGATTTAGAACTGATCTTTTTCTATAGCTAATGGTGTTGAAGTATACTTAAAAAATTCAATGAGACATTGAAATGTGTGTATTTTACATGACAGTATTTTCATCCAACAGCTTGAGTTCCCACAGGAGGTTCACTAACACCCCGAATGCCCCATAGAGACTTGGTACTCCAAGACCAGCATCCCAGCTCCACAGACGAAACATACTCCCTCTCATCTTCTGAGAGGACTGTCTGGACAAAGACAATGATATCTGTATGCCAGGACATAAGTAGAAAGCTTTCTGTGGAGTTATTTATTGTAGTAACAGGCCCTGGCAACAGTTAGACTCCATGGTGATAACAAATAACCCGGCTCTCAAGGAAGAAAATTGGGCATTCCTACTCTCTGGACTTGCAGCAGGGAGCAGATGGTCACAATTTCACCATGGGCTACAATATTTTTATCCAGGCTGCAGTGGCAGAGCTGCCTTCTGAGGGGCTACAGAACAACCAGAGAGTGAAGGGCCAAGGGGTGACCCCTTCCCCACAGACTCTGCCTGAAGTATGTACGTTAGGAGATGCCTTAGCATACGAGTGTACCAGGAGGACATGGGCACACAGAAACATGGTTTTGATGATGTTAGGGGCAGGTCTGGCTCTGTCTGATCTTAAGGGAGCTCTTAAGGAGAAGAGCTGTCACTCACTCAGCTTAACACAACCTTCCTGCTACAGGGGAAGCAGATTCACCATTTGGCCACATGCATGATCTGATTTCACAGCACCTGAAAAGTTCATTTTCACAGCCTGTCCAACTTGCCTCATTAAAGATACAATTATAGACACTTATCTCCCACACCAGTGATGAATTACAACACTGCAGCAAGGTGGATTTTGCCTCAAAAAGTTATTTTGAAGCAGGAGGCTTGTATATATGTAAATATTATGTATGCAAGATATATACGTGAAGCCACTTTGTGAAGCTTACAAAGTTGAGTTGGCTTAAGCCCAAAGATACAGAGAAGAGACAAATTACATCTAGGCTCTAATCCTCCATTATTAGGAGGTTCAAAACTATTGCTTAGAAGGAGCACAGGCTAACAGGTTAGCAAGTGCTAATTTAAAACTCAGTTTTAAATTTCTAACCAATGTTCTGCACACAGAAGGCACTCAAAGTACTGGAAAAATACTCCAATTGAGTTAAATGGATTATAGCCCCATTTAAGCTTAAATTTATGCTTTGTTTTGAAAATGGAAAATGAAAAACAAATTTTGAAATTGTCCAAGAGACCCTCACTCACCATCCACCTGTGACAGAACATGGATAAGGTATCAGGAATACCTCCGTCTTCCACTGTACTCTGAACCTCACAGTTCTGTAGGACTACTCTAGATAGCTCCTTACATGCTTAGAAGGCAAAGGAGCTTTTCTCATTTGATTGTTCATCTTGCTGTAGAGTAGAAATTACAGCATTGATGGAACAGAGACAGACCCTCACAGGTTGGGGCAGCTTGACTAAAAGGGACTTCAGAGGATGGAGCCAAACTTGACGATGAGACAAGTAAGGAAATCTTCCCCAAGAAACCACCATGAAGATTTACTTCTTTTCAGATAACCCAAGCACAGGTTAACAATAACTGAAGTTTGTAACAGCTTCACAAACAGAGACCTAGGAGGAAATAATCTTGCAGGTCTATTGCTACAGCCAACTTCCACACTAGGAATCGTTCATGCTGTGACACCACACAGACTGAGTTCTTAGCACTGGTTTAAAACCATGCCATAGTAACACAGAATAGCTGATGATTATGTTCTTCAGCATGACTCAACCCTCAGCACCAGAAGAGAAAGCAGGGTTGATACTTTTCTTGGCAGATGCCTGGAACAGACCAAGAGAACAAACTCAGCCTTGTCCCCAGGAGTAGCCCTCTCTTACAGTTCATTGGGAAGGGAGGTTACCCACAGGAGTGCTCTCAGTCTGATGTTACAATGAGCCAGTTTTTACTGCAGCCAATACAATGCCCTGACAAGCAGAAGGTAGAGACAGTAAGTAAATACCCTGTTATTTCTTCACATTTGCAACCAGAGGTTGCAAGGCCAGTTATAATATGAAAAAAACCACAAAACATAAAAACTCCAGAAATCATCATGACAACAATCAAATGCGTGCAAAGAATTTTTTCTTTCAAATGCAAGTGAGCACTTAAACCCAAAGTTTTCTATAATCTTAGGATACCATTGCAGTAAGAGTTGCTAATGGAAAAGCAGCACCATTTTTTGGTTTATTTGAGCCCCTAATTTCAAAGTTTAACTCTTGTATTTTTCAAGTGCTGAGAACATCTTACATTTCACAGACATGCTAAATGGAGTATCTACAGTGGTTGCTTACTCTTTATATTAAACAAAAGTTGTAATAAATTATTTCAAATAGAAAACAAAAAGAGTGGTGTTTGCTAATCGTTAAAAAAGACTTAACTCCCAATATCACAGAAGGACATGATGAAAGGATTTCATTTCATATTGAACAAAATTATTTGCTTGCTCTGAAATGGTTTCATTTAATTTCAACCTCCTTTTCCTCCCACTTTCTAAAGCATAACTTCACAGGAAATTTCTAAACAGAAAATTTTGAGATCATGCTTCAATCTTCTTTTTCAACACCAAAAAAAGGCATACCATACCAAGATACTTCAACTACATTTTTCTCCTGAATGGATTAGTAAAACCAATACAAATTCACATCACTTGTCAGTGTTGCCCACTCATCCTACTTTTATTTTTTTGTCAGGATGCGTTTTGCTGTATATTGGCTTCTGACATTTGCATGTTCTGACTGACAGCCGAACCCCAGTGCTTTTCGGGTAACTAGTTTGGTTATTTTAGGAGCACAGAGTCAGCTATGGGGTAGTAGATGTTCTGTATTTTTGTTTTACAACTGAAATATAAGACAACATTGTCACACTCGTTCTGCTTATGAAGACTGGCAGATGTCAAATATCTGCAATTTTGATTTGGCCCAAGCATTTTTTCATACCAGAGCTCTCATTTCTGCCAATAGAGATTGGGCAGATGGTAGAACTGTCAGATGAGGGCTTCAAAACAGCTGGGTCTTGGCCTTAAAGTTGCTCATTGTTTATTCATGTCTAATATATGGAAACTAAACAGACATTAGAGTTACCAAATAACTTGGTTTTTAGTCCTAATGCTGTCTATAAATATAGGATTGTTGAAAAGCTTATGATCAGACTCAAATGTAGCAATGCTGTTACAACAAAAATTACATACCATAAAAACGCATCAAAGTTTGGGTTTATTTAACAGACAAACATAGTGATCTTTACAACATGGCTCATTACTAGGCTTGTACTACACCACCCTAGCCTGGCTTTCTCCAGCCAGATCAGAAAGCCCTTAAGAATTTAAACCATCTAGAGCTCCTATGGACCCTCTTTGGGAACATGCTCAAAACTTGGTTTCACGGGTTTTCAGCATAAGCTTCCATGATTTCCAGAACGTACCCCTCTGGGTGTAACTGGACTAGACACTTGCATAATTCTTCAAGCCACTAAGACATTTACTGTAAACTTTAAAGAGTGAAGAGAGGCTCCAGCTGGCCTTCTCCACTGGACAGTCTCAGTCTATGCAACTTCTTAAACAAAAACTCTGGCATTGGAAATACATCATGAAGCTTTGCTTGAAAGCCAGTGTTGTCCAAGATTTGAGTTTTAATGTTTACATCTTTTGAAGACACACCTCTCACCAATGAGTTAATCAGTAAATCATCACCCTTAGAGGAAACAGAGAGGCAAAAATCATTCTTGAGGAGCTGAGGATGTCATAATCAAGAGTCAAAGTATCACTGGCAGAACTGTAGAAGCATATGAGAACAAGGTGTCACATGAGACTGGACTCCTGCTACAGCTGTGACTCTGCTGTGAGCACCCTGAGATACAGCTTTTGCACACTAAAAGCATCACCACACATTCATCCTCAAAGACTTTTAGAAGCAAGATGTTTACTGCATTGTAGGAGCATTAACACAACAGAAGTTGGCAATAGTTTCCAGTTGTTTACAGTTTCAGGGCTTGTTTCAAATGTGGACAAAGGAAATAACAGTACTAACAACTTGCTCTTTGAAAAACTCACTGGATATGCATGCCAGTAAGAGATGATACAAGCTTCTTTCTCAGATCCATGAAACTAGAAGAAATACTGCTATCAGGACTTAAACTGACACTTAAATTAATACATCAGAAATCTCAAATAGCAACACTTCTGAGAAATCTACAATTCATATTTGATCTCAACCTAAGAAACCATTACAAAATAGATTTTAAAAATTATTGAATTGATGTTTGACTAAGAGGCTAGTGTCCATTTTCTTTGCATTCTGAATTATAATCTGTGATTTATTTTGGCTTCTGAACTCAAGTTTTTTATTTTGTTGTCAAGCATTGTGTTGAGGATCAGATGCCTCTCCTAGACAGGCCTTTGAGTACAGATGTCAGGAAAGAGAAGGTCTACAGGACATCTGTAAGCACCTTTATGGTATGCATTGTTCAAAGCATGATTCCACCACTGCTTGAACACAGGAACAATTCGATCTTAAACCAAGGATGATTCTGAGCAGCTTTATAATTTGAGTGAAGCCATTCACGCATCTCTAACCTCAGCCACTTGCATTACTGAAAAGAAAAATCAAACAGAAACTTTCATATTCTGTGATTCTGCAATAAGAAGGACTAAACAAGCAAGGGCTGCATTACAGTCTGGCCACCAGTACTGCCTAACGCATCTCTGATTACCAGCACTTTGGAAAATGGGGATAGAGGGTCTCCAAGTACAGCTTCTCTATAGCCTTTACTTACTTCAGACAAATTTTAGAGTATCCAAGAGAATTGGACCCTCTGTGGCTAAATTTAGGTAACATACTGCAGGCAGGTTTTTGTATTTTTCCCCTTCATAACAGAGGCAAGTGTCTGCTCTTTTTCTCCTATTGTATTAAAAAGCTGCCTGGTATTAAATTACACAGACTCTTTTATTGACAGAAATTCAGTCTTTGCTATTTCTCCTCCGAGAATTTCTATTCTCCCAACAGGAAGAAAGTGCTTTTTTCAGTCTTAAAATGAGTACAGCTTTTAAAACGAACTTCATATTTTTTGCTAACAAAGCCAACTTTTCCAAGCAATACTTTATATTTGAGCTGGGCCCACTGCTGGGTAGCCTACAAGTAAAAACATAAATCTGTCACTAGCTGTTAACTATTAGCTCTCCCTTAGCAGCAATAGAAGAGAGTCTGTTCTACCTTCCTTGAGAATAACATACTCCATTAAAGTTCAAATCCAGCAGATTTCCTATGAATAGACAGATTAAATGCATCAAACACAGACACAGTAGAAAAGGTGTAGTACCTAGACATATAGCAAATTACAACATGCAGCTGTGAATTTTGCTCATTAACACACAGGTAAATTCATATCTGTAGCTTTGGAGCTGACCAGGAATAAGCATGAATTTATGCCAAGTTTCATCCTAGCACTACCTTCAATGAAGAAATGAACCTGTGGTCCTCACAACACTGTAAAAGATGAGTACAACCAGGTTTGAGATTTTTTTTTACAGTAATATTGGGGAGAGAACCTTGCTAGAGCTTTCCCTTCCTGTACATAGTTCTGCTTCACGTAAGTATCTGCATCCCTTAAGTCCTAGCAGCATCACCCATCTTCTCCAGATTTCCTGCCACAGCCAATACTGTGAAACAGCCACATTAGCTTTGGTCTTATGACAATCCCTTACTTTATCCTGAAAAAAGGAACTCAAAGCAATACAGGTTAGGAGGCCTTTTAACACTTTTTTCTAAGCATTGCTGCTGTAAAGGAGCAGCACCTTTGAGAGCAACATTTTATAGATCTAGCATAACAAAGCTGAGCCATACACAACATGTATGGAGGATAAATCAACCTCTACAATTTTCACAATGGTTCTTATTAAAAATGCTAGCAGAAACAGAATTTTCACCTAAGGCATAAGTATCTAGTCTTCTTTCCATTATTACATTTTAGCACCTGCTGGAAGTTGGGGCAGGGGGAACCTCTTTAACCCTTTATTGCTTAAAAGAGATTGCATATCATGGGATATCTCAGGTTGGAAGAGATCCATAAAAATCATTGAGTCAAAATTCTTGCTTTTTGCAGGACTACCAAAAACTGGACCGCATTAGTGTGGTGTGCCATTCAGATGCTTCTTGAATTAGCCTAGTGCCATGACCACTTCCCTGGGGTGCCTGGTCCAATGCCTGACCAGCCCCTCAACAAGGAACCTTTTTCTAATGCCTGAAGTATCATTGTGATGTCAAACGTGAAAATGTTTAATTCTCACCTCTGAGGAGTTACATTAAACTCTTAATAGACACCCCTTCTCCCAGGAAGTGGCAGGAGATGAATTACAGGCAGAACAGGATGCTGTAGGGCACTAACAGCTGTAGGATGTCATCTATCAAGTACCTTTCTTCCAAGTCTCCTTTTAAAGGCACTCCTACATGTGCAAGCTTTTGGAGGGTAAGCAAAAGCACCAACAGCTGTTATTTCAAATGTGGGAATTTTATCTCCTTATAATGAGTTATCATTTACAAGGAATGTGCTCAGGTTATTTTAGTGTTTCTTTTGCTCTTAGCTTTCAGTGTAGGTTCATTGAAGCTATGAGGACTCTTGAGTTCCAAAACTGTTTAGCTCAAAGACAAGTTCTTTTCTTAGCTTGTATAGACGCAGAACAATCTGGAAAGCAACCTGCTTGCTTAATACTCTGCTTTGTTTGGACATACTGGGAAGAATTTTCCAACCATCTCTTTCTATGCAGTCTGTAGTTTGCCTTGGGTAAGGAATAACATGGTCAGTATGCAACACCTTTGTGCATTCACTGGAATGGTCTTTCTCATTAAAGAGAAGAGTTACTATTTTTTTTTTTAAAACACTTTTGATTCATTTTTATGATGATTGAACATTGCTTTGTTCAGACTTTTTGTGTCATCTGCATTCAGAATGTCTCCTTTGTATGTCAGTATTCTTCCTACTGATTCATGCTCTACCTTCATCTCACTTCATGAGTCATCTTCTATACTATTTGCAGCACTTAACACTTCTGGCAGTGAGGCCTGACTTCTAGAGTTATTTATGGCAATAAAAGACTGAGGAGCCGATAACTCAGGAAACTTGTAACAGGATAGTGATTACCTCAACCCTAGGTCCTCGGTGTGGGTTTAACACTGCTAAACCTCACATAGAAAATGACAGAATTCAGCTTCCTGGCTAATCACATAATCACCACATCTTTCAGGACTAAGTGCTGCCCTCAGCAGCAGGGCTGTAGGATTGGGCTGCTCATTCGTATGCGGTAGAGACCAGTGTTATGATTACTAAGCTTTAACAAAACCATTCTTAAATCTCTTCAGCAGTAATAAAGTAACTTCTCTAAATCCTTAGGACCTCATTACCAAATCTCTACATCTGCTGGGTGTACAGTAACATTGCAAGCTCCACAGACACATCACTCACCAGCAAAGGGGAATTCTCACTGCAGACAACACTCTCTCATGAGTGAGCACTGAGGTTATTAGCACATCATTACTTCCAGGCTTTCACTGGTATTGGAGTCCATCACCTCCATGCATGAAAAAAAAAAAAAAAAAAAAGCAGAAGGCAAGCAGCAAACTGTCACCCCAACAACAAAATATACCCTGCTGAAAGCTTTTAATGTCTCTACAGAGAGATGCCCTGGCAAAGACACCAAAGAAACCCCCAGCTAGGCTGGAAAAAAATTTGGAAATCAGAAAGTGGGTGATTTTACAGTGAAGGACATGAAGCCTTCTGCTGAAGCAAAGAAACAACTCATCTAATTCTGCTGTGCATTTTTCCAATGTTTGCTTTATCACCTGAAACATCTAGTTTTTCATAAATCAAGTTAATGCAGATAGTTTACATAAAACCTACTACGAACAGATGATTAACTGCAGTACAGTGGGTCTTATATTCATCTCGGAGATGTTGCAAGTCTAGGTTTTTTTGCTGAAAGCCTGGAAGATTACTCTCAAAATATTCACAAGAGAGGAAACTTCTGGAGCATCTTTTTTTGTTCCTATAGCAAAAGATTCACAGTCCATGGACACCAGAAGAAATTCACTAAATTTGGTAATAACTGGAGTAATCTTCTGATCACATTTGGGGTAGAAAGACAGAAAGAACTGCTGCATGTTTTTGACAAATACCTACTTCCATCCCTCATTACAGAGCATTGCACATTTTGTTGTTTTGTTCTAGGTTAGGGAAGAGGAACTGAACAAAATGCTACAACACATCAGATCATTTCCCTCCCCCTCCCGAGAAACTGCTCACTGAACCACAAAAAAAAAAAAAAAAACAGACTGAAAAGGACTGCCTGGCTTTTGAAAGTCAGAGAGGTACAGACACCCTCAGCCCTCACCTTTAGATGCTGAGCCAGGGCTGCTGCTGAAGCAAATAACTGCAGTAGACAGGACAAACGATTATACTGAGGAGGACACTGTCACTGAGTCTTGGTAACTTACAGCTGCATCAATGAATCAATCTGGGTCTGTCTTGTAAATATAAAGAACTCCTCTGTTCTCTGCAAATGTCTTTTTTGAGGGCATAAGTAAATGCTTTATCACAGGGCACAGCTGAGTCTTGCTCCTGCCTATCTCACCTGGGAAAAGGTATCTAATCTGTGTGTAACAACACACTAATGAGAAGAAACAAGTGAGAAGAACCAGGAAGAGGCAAATTAGTAACGAGTCAGTCACTAAATTCAAGCACACACACATTAGCATGATTCTATCAAATTTAACTTACTATTATTATGTCATTAAATTTATCCAACTTCTTTAATGACTTCATTAAAAGATTCCTTTTTCTTAGGGAAAGGCTGGAAACATATTGTATGCACACAAGAAGACATAAAAGCAGGAGCACACAGGGAAAAAGCTGTGACCAGCAGGGATTTGGGGCAGTAGAAAAAGATGCTGTGACCCTAAAAATTTTAACTTACTGTGGAGAGAGACTGGCAGAGAGGTAAGACCATCAGACAACAAGGTGACAACAGGCCTCAAGAACATCTATTTGACAAGCATTAAGCATATGAGGGAAAAGCAGAACAAGTACCAAAATGATAATGCAGGAAACAACTAAAGGACTAAGATATACAGGGCACAGGTGAGTTGCAATGAGATGACTCTTTCTGTTCCAGAGTTGTGTGTCTCTGGTCAGTCTCTTGACTTTGGAATCCTCTATGCCCTACCTCAAATGGGCATAAAACATTTACTGTAGCCAGCTCTTACAAAAACCATGTAAAGCAATTACGCCATTTGCAGTCTCCCTGCTATCAGCCCTACCACCACCTCCTGGTCCATGCCCACTTCCATTTGGGCCTCTGGCTCTGTCCACCTCCCTCCCTCACCAATCTCACACCATGCTCACCTCTGCTCCTAGCCTGGCTTTTTACTTTCTTACCTTCAGCTACAGGTGACTCATTCTTCCTTTCCACTTTCCCAGCCAAGGAAATACAGCTGCAGCACAGGACCACTCTTCTCTCAAATCACAGGCCAAGCACTGCAGAATAGATTAAAGGATAGCCCCGATTTTTACAGCTTTGTGGCAGTTCGCCTATCACTCTCAGAAATAAAAAAAGCTTTCTTGCTTTCTCCTATCTTGACAGACTTGTACTAAATCACTAAGGGGAGGAGCAAGAGATCATCTTGTTTCCTAAGCAGCTGGGATCCCACCTGCGAAAGGCAGCCCATTAGATAGAGCCTACTCTTTCACCCCACCTCCAGTTGGTCCAGGTGGCATGTTTTGCAAAAAAATCATATTAGCAGTAAAGAAGAAAATCTGAAAATCACCCTGTGTTGCCTAGAAAGAACAATGGAGAACCAGAAAATGTGAGAAAATCCCTTAGCAAATAGAGAAATTTTACTGAGCTGGTTCAAAATTTTCCAACACCTTGACAAATAGGAAAAGTAAGAGACCTGAGAATACATTCTCACTACACAGTTAACCCAAGCTGTTCCTTGAATTTTGTTTCTTAGGTACATTTAGCTAAGGCTGCCTGGCCAGGTGTGGAATAAAAACTGTTGTATGCATATACACACATCCATGCAGACTGATCCACTGAGTTAGAGTAATTTGCCTGTGCTGGCAATGAAGTTATTCAAGTGCTAATGTCTTCCAGTGCCTTGCCATGGCTTCAAAAGGACAAATGATCATCCGTTTGCAGCCAATGCCATTTCTTCCATTATTTCCTGGGTAAGAATTTTACCTCCCTGCAGCACAAAGCCCCATAAACCCCTGATGATACAGAGAGAAAAGCACAGCATCAGGAAAGGTGCCATTTTGAAGCAGGAGCACTCGTAGTTCTGCCTGGCTCATCTGTGTGTCACATGTGATTGTTAATCTCTCAAATCAACTATGCAGCAAAGATACCTTGGAGAAAGCAACGAAAAGTGTAGGACTAATAGCAGCCTACCTCAGATAAACTTCCTAGAATCAAAGATTTGAGATGAAGCTGGGACATATTGTAGTTCAACTGGTGGGCTGAGAAGTGATGCTGTCTAGCTTGTCAGCTTTACTTGGGGAGGGCACAAATCTGTTTCAGAAGTGAAGCACTCAATTCTTCATCCTGTGCTCATCCAAGGACTTAAGCCCAGAGCAGGTAACTTTTCCACATGCATCTTTTGAAGCAGGGTGGCTGTTAAAGGTAGGTAGCCTGGTACATGCTTTGTGAGGGGGTTGTTGTGTTGACTGCCTGACCCCATTAGACCAGGGCAGTAACATTCTGAGTCTTTCTAGGATTCTTTTTGGAACAGGCTGAACACTGTGTGGAAAGCAAATTCAGAAAAAAAAAAAAAAAAAAAAACAACACATGGATTTCTCCTTTTACAATCTTCACAACAAGTTTAATTATTGCCTTTATTAGGAGGATCTGCTGAAACCCACAATTTCATGCTTTTTAACACAATAAGCTTCTGAGCCTCTTCCTGCAACAGAAGATACAAACTCTTGGCTGGGCACACAGTTTAAATATTTTTTGGATTTAGAAATAATTTTAAAATAAAGACCAAATGTCTCTGTTGAGTAAACTAATTTTTGTGTTATTAATAAGAGAAGCAGTTAAAGCCTGCCTTATTGAATTGTGTATTTAATTGAACACTGATCTAACTCCCACTGAAAACAATCCATGTCTTTCCATTACTTTCAGTGGATGTTGGACTTGTCTCTTGATGTTTAAGAGAATAGCTAAGCAGGGAGAACTAAGTTACATTTCTGAGCAAAGAAACAGCTTGCTGTACAAAGGAACAGTACATTGTGAATATTCCTGTGTATAAAATTACACTGAGATGTAGCTGACAACTGCAGGGCTCCTCGCCATGGCTAACTGCACCAAAAAAAAAAAAAAAAAAAAGAAAAAAAAAAAGCAGGACAACAAATAGGTGCCAGGTACCTGCTTTTAAAATGCCTTCAAGTATTACATTTCCTCCTGTTTGACTGCTGGTCTCTTACCAAAACCCTCGGGGCACAGTTCAACAGCTCACAAGACTAAGCTCCATGGACGTGTGTCACAATCACATTTGCACTACTCCCTGTCCCTTGACAGATTGAAAAGGCACCAGCAAAGCACTAAAAGCCCACAACACCATAGCAACTGTGGAGGAGAGCACCGGTCTCCTTTGTCGGTGGTGATCTCTCTCTGCTAGCCATGCATGGAGAGAGACACACAAGTCTAGGCAAGGGTGACTTGAGAAGAAGCATCTCAGGAGGTCAGCCCAGCCAGGGCATGCTCTCCTCAGACATAACCATTATAGACCTGTTTCCATAGCAGTAATTTGCCTGAATTTAATCCCTTGATCTTTACCAGAGGGCAGCCAACTTTCTGAGGCTGAACTCGAACTGGCTGAGCAACCAGGTGAACAGAGTCGGAGCTACAGATGTTTGAGTGCATCAAGCATCACTGGTGCAGGCCAGAGGATTCAATCCTTCCCCTGCTGCGTGGGAACAACCCCGCAGTCCCTGCTCTAAACCACGGCTGCTCTGTGAGGGGCAGCGAGCCCTTACCTCAGGCAATGCGTGTGGGGAGGCCTTTTGGAGCCTCCTGCTTGCACGATGAAGGCACGAAGCTGTAAAATGTAGTCAAGCTTCTCTGAGCACACAGGCTTGAGCGCGGCTTACTGCTCCTGCCCTGGGATTTTCCCTGGAATTCCACCACAAAGCGCCCCCGGCAGGGGTCACCCTGCCCCGCGGAACTCTGTCCCGGCGCCGCTCCCCGCCCCAGCACTGCCACTGGGGAGGTCAAGTGTTTATTCCTGCCTTTTTTTTTTTTTTTTTTCTTTTTCTTTTTTTTCTTTTTTTCGTTCCTTCCCCTGAGCTTCTGAACAGGAAGGGAGAATATTCCGTGCGTGCTGTATTTATGCTGCCGTCCCTTTTAAGTCTTTTAAGTCAGTTTCCTAAGATACCCAGCTAAAAGAAAGATGTGAATAACTTCGTTCACACTGTCACCAGGAAGAAAAACGGGAGAAAAAAATAGAGTTCCAAGAATACAGAAAGACAGGTTCAAGGGAAGTAAAATTATGTATGTACTATCAGTTTGCTTTTTCTCTTACTCCAGAGGCAACTCTGCCACAGGAAGCAATGCCAGCCATCCTCCTCGGAGATTTTTCCTACAAGAGTCAACTCTGTGGAAGGGAAGTGTTCTGTGTGATGCTGAACAAAGGAAGGGGAAGAAATGCTCAAAATAATCAGTGGATCAGGGACTGGTTCTGAATTTTTGTGGGGTTGCATCTGCCTGAAGGAAAGGCAGTAGCCAGAATCCTGTGCTGGTGGGAACTCGCAGGGCCAGGCTCCTTTGCCTGAGGCTGACACTCATGTTTGTCCATAGAGCTTATTCCTGGGCAAGTGCGAGTGCTGCTGGAGGTCCCTGTGGGCCATGGTCAGAGTTCCTCCCTTCAGGAGTCTGTGTTTCTTCTCCCCTCATTCTTTTCCTTCCTCATTCTGTTCCTCTATTCCTCTGATACTGTTCCTTATGACCCAGTTTGCCTTCTCTCCAGCATGCAGAGGAGTCACTAGGCTTTTTCCTGTCCTTGATGCACTGCAGTTCTTTATACACTGAACAAGAATGTTCCATTTAAAATATCAGTCCTTGTTGCTGGACCACCAAAATGCTCCAATTTCAAAGCAATGTCTGAGCAGCTGGGACAAATGTTTTTCTCACAAAAAGCAAGACATGGTTGACCACTATGCCCTACATCTTCAGGGAGACACAAAATACACATCTAGACCATATTCTCAAATGAGCCCCTAATATTCAACAGACAGGAGTAGCTGGCAGGAACTGAGATGTCTCCAATTTTGAGGCTTTTGAACTCAACATCCAAATGGTTTTATGTTGCATAAGTCTCTGTTTTATAAACAGCCTGTAGTGCTGAGACAGTGTGCTGCAGCAGCGCTTGGGAGCTCTCTTGTGAAGCCACACTGTTTCCTAAAATTACTCTGTTCTCACTTTTAATATTATCCAGAATGATGAAACTAAATTTAGTCCTTAGAGCTTTGCATTAGCTGCTTGTCTCTGTCAGTGCACTTCAGACCAGGCCTAAATACT